CTCCCCTTCGAGTATAAACATTTCTTAGCCATGAATACCTAGTGATGATCTTACTTATACCATCGTTCAACTTAACAAGACTCGCTTGTCTGAAACCCTTACAAGGAAGACTTTCGATACAAGGACCTTTCACCTACTATAATCATACTCAATTAAGTCAGTCACCGGATAAACCATCAACTTTGATACCACTATTGGGTATTTTCAAGGGGGGCTAACAAGGAGATTCTCACAAATGAGTCATGAGACAACCATATAAGAGAGTATAACACCACTCTCAACACAAAACCTTAAGACATTAGGTCATGGGTCTTTCTCACTTATAAGTTACTCAACTTTCCCATTTTTACCCAATATAGGACTTTAAACTCACACTTGATTTCTCAACATCTCTCCCTCAAGTGTGATTCCCTTCACATTAGTATATCTCCCCCTCAAGCGAAAGTATTTCTTAACCATGAGTACCTAGTGATAACCTTACTTGTACCGTCGTTCAACTTAACAGGACTTACTTGCCTGAAACCCTTGTCAAGAAGACTTTCGACACAAAGACCTTTCACCTACTATAAACCATCGTTAGATAAACCATCAGCGGATATTTCCATGGGGGGCAAATAACAGGGAGATTCTCACAAATGAGTCATGAGACAACCATATAAGAGAATATGACACCATTCTCAACTCAAAACTTTAAGGCATTAGGTCATGGGTTTTTCTCACTTATAAGTTACTCAACTTTCTCATTTCTATCCAACATGAGACTTCAAACTTACACTTTTCTCAACACTTTATTCATTGGGACATAATAAGAAACTGAAAAACATTATTAGAAAAAGGATATCCTTCTTGTCAACACAAACGTTTTTTTTTTTTAAGGAATTTTGTCTATTGTTGCATAATTATATAACATTTTTCAATGATTGTGTTTTCAAAAAGAAAAAAAAATGCTCAGTGATATCTAATTTTATTGGCTTTTTTTTTTATAAGAAAAGAACCAGACTTTTTTTTCTTCTTAAATAACACGTTAAAAACTATTTACCCAAATAACATCACTAACAAAATTATTTATCAAACTAGCGTGTACCACAGTTGATGGTTAGAAATTGATATCACCTACGTTTTGTTACTTTCTTTTTAAATGAGAAATCGATAATTTTTTTTTTCACATTTTAAAGTTATTTGATAAAAAAATACCCATAAATAATATCACCATAACCATATATTACTCATTATCGCAAGTAAACATTTTATAATGTCATCGAAAGAATATTTAAATTCAAATATCAACAAATAGAAGAGGTTAATTAATTACTTAATTTTAGACAATTATTTAAAACATGACGTAAAATTAAATACCTATAACCATGTGCTCACGAATGTTTAGAAATTTAATTTTATTAAAAATAAAATAAAAACATGTTCACAAATATTATATTTTATTACATAATAATTTATAGTCATTTCAATTCTTATAATTTTTTAAAAAGCAGCAACAAGTATTTATTATTATTTTTTAAAATCACGTTAAGAAATCGTTGCACAATTTATTCTATTTTACATTTTCTTACCCCCGTAATTTTTTTCTTGCCCTTCTCTGTCTCATATATAATCATTAAAATATTATTTTAATAATTTTTGTTTAAAATCCCAATAACTTCGGCTGCATATCTTCTACACCTCCATTCTTTATCTTTTATACCTCCATAGCTCTGTAAATTCAATTTCTTATGTTTCACATCTATTTAATATTGTTTTTAACAGTAGGTAATTAATTATTAATATTATATATTTATTACATGTTCTGAAATTGTATATTAAGACCTAAATTGTTATATCCAAGACAATTTTTTAAAAATTAAATTAACTTTTAAAACACTTAATCTAAAATGTATTTCTAATTTTTTTTTTACAAATGTAGTACAGAACACAAAATCTGGAAAGGTGGATTTGGAATAAGATTTCTAAATTTTTTTTTTTGGAAAGTGGGTTCTAGAAAAGATTTTATGGAAACATTATGGAGAATGGGTTCCAGAATAATATTTCTAGAAAAAAATTTCAAAATAAAAGTGGGTTTTGGAATACATTTTTAAAATTATTTTTCCAGAAATACTTTTTCGGATTGGTAGATCTAGAATGTTTAATATGAAAATGTATTTCAAACTTACTAATTTACAACGCATTTCTAAAAATATGTTCAGAAACCCATTTTGTTTATAGAAAATCTTTTTCCCAATTCCAAGTTTGGAAAATGTTTCTCCTCAAAAATCTTGTTGTGCGAATATTATACATGGTAAAAATTTGGTCCAAATTAAAAACAATTTGAGATTTTTACCTATTTCTTGCATTTCTTGGAATAGTAGAAGGAAGAATGAAAATATTTTAAGGTTTAAAAATCAAACATTTAAAGGTTTAAAAATAAGAAATAAACACTTACCAATAAAGGTAAGTATAATGGTAAAATAGGATTTAATTTAACTATTGGAAGGCCGGAAGAAATTATGGAGGTGTAGGAAGAAAATGCATGCCATGACATGGCTGCAACATATTAGTTAGATGGGCCATCTGATATAAATGGCCCAATATGGAATTGGGCTACTGTGAAATTTCTGGGGTAGACAGACAACTAATTCTATACAGGCCAGTATAAAAAGTCTTTCTTCCGCCACCTCTATATCTTCTTCCTAGACTCCATATTCATTGGATCTATATTAGTTTTATAACAATTTGGGAGCATATTTTGGATTGGAAAATACGGAAAGGTTTTTAATGAATGAACTCGATTTTTTTTTTTTTTAAGTTTCAAAAATCCAAATATAATTTTACCTTTCTGAAAAAATTAATCTGAAAATCTTTCAAAAAAAAAAAATCCAAAAATATTTTATGAATATGTATGATTGAAATTTCCCATTATGAAATCCGAAACATAAATTTACCGAAAAAATCAATCAAATAATGCTTATGAAAAGTTGATTTCAGAGTATTATCGTAAAACTTAAAAAAAAAAATCAATTTAAAATATTTACAAAAGTGTTAATAAAAACCTATTTTACTATAAAATAATATTGTCTTTTTTAGACGAACATAACACAAAAATCTGTTTTCATTTTGCTGATGTTGGACTGTATATTGGTGTTATAAATTGCATAATGTTCAAAATCTAGTTCTCAATGAAAATCCACTTTCTCTGAATTGTCAACCTTAATACACAATTAAAATCTATTTTAACTATCATTTAACTTAATTGACTATTATTCACTGAGAGATGGTTTTCAAGTCATTCATTCCTCCAAAAACTTATCACTGGAGATGTTTAATCTTAAGTGTGAAGGGAAGAACTTACCTCCACTATTGATATAATTAAATTGAAATATATAAGTGAATATAAAACCTTATCTTATAAACTAGTTCTATAAGTTCAAGTTAACTCAAGCTTAAACTCAAATTTGAGAATGTATTTTCTAAAATTATTCAATAAAGTTTTTATTCACACTACATACAGACAGGAATCTTGTGTGATCTGTCACAGTACAGAAGCTTTTATTATGTATATTACTGTTACTGATACAAGCTTGTGGAACCCTTGGAAGCTTATACGTCAATCATTTTCTTCCTCCTCCAATGATGTATTTATCGTTGGCTTACATTTAATGGAACAAAGACAGGTGGTGAAGAAAAAGGATGACAGCGTAGCAGGACGTAAATGATCATTGAATTTTGTACACCTTTTACCACTTTTGTAGCACATCCACCGCCTTGCCTACTTTTCATTTCTGTCCATTTCAAAACACCCTTTTAAACACTAACAGCAGGGAACATTCCCATATTATAATCAAAGTAATATGTTTAGGATATGACAAAATCCATTCACATTGGTTTAGAAAAACTTTCACCGCCATATGTTTTGACTTTGCTGATGCCGCATAAGTTCAAGAAGGTTTTCACACAATTCTTGTTTTTGGTTAAAAAAGTCTCCAAACTAATAAATGGTTAAAAAATTCACAGAACAAGATCTGTCAAAAGGACATTTTCTGGAAAAAATAATATTAATAACATGTGAGTCAAACTTATAAGAAATTTATATTATTTTTATTTAAAATCTTAAGATATTATGTCATCGATATATATATTATTCAATTTTTTCTTTTTTACTTAATATAAGATTTAAAATCATATTTAAATTATCTAATAATATAATATAATAAATATAAGACTACCTTAATTCATTAAGTCTATCCCATGAGATTGTGTTCTCACACAAAAATAATACGGACATTTTTTGACGTGTTTTATCCAGTTACCTATGCTTTCCATGAAAAACATGTTAAATAGGTGACATGTTACAACCTTCGAGTCCATAATAGATTGTTTGGACCCGAGAGACGATATGGACAGACATAAACTAAGGTAGGCCTTCTTCATGTCAAACTTTGCTATCAGATATACCCTATTTTCAAAAAGTTGTTTGAATAACATCTACTTTCCTCCTACCATCATAATCATCTTCAGTGATGTTTCTTTCTTCGTTTTGATCATAGGCTCCACCATTCTAGGAGGTTGTAATATGGCTATGGAGAAAATAACTCAGAACTTTCCATGTTGGTTACTCTCTGAACATTCTGAACTGTTACAGTTAACAAGTCGGCAAAACTTTGTCTCGTCCAGTGTGTGAAGATGGCAGCTATGCTCATCTTCAGAAGCAGTCATGGTACCAGAAATTGAAGATTTGAAAGGATTCTTCTCAGAAATTAGAGTACTACAAAATACTAGCACAGAACTATTGTGAGATTTCCTCCTCTGATTACATGAGATTTGTTTCATTTACGAAAAATAAGAAATGCTAGTTCTGCATATTTTGTGCAGCAACTTTTCAACTTGTCTTGGTATTGCAAATTCTGCAGTTAGCAATGAGAAATTCTGAACAAATCCTTGTCTTTTAATTGGTTATTTTAATTTGCTGCGTCCTCAGGTTCTTAAAATTTAAGCACTAGCTTATTGCACAAATGAGGAAATTCTTGATTATAGCCTTTTCCATAACCATATGCTTCATCGCTTTTGTGATATCCAAGATTGTTATCTCAGTCCTCCTCTACAAAAGATGGAGAAGAAAACAGATGATTCATGAAGAAGGTTATCCAGGTATGGAGCAAAAAGGGAATGCTTTCTACTTTAGTTCTTGTTGAGAAAAAGTAAGATAAATAATATGCATTGATTGAATAATACAGGAGGGAAGATAGTTATATTTAGATCCTCAGTGCTTAAATCTCTCACAGCTGATGCGATCTTAAAGAAGACACAGAAACTGAACAACAAGGACATCCTTGGGTCAGGTGGTTATGGTGTAGTTTATGGAATAAAATTAGATGAATCCACATCCTTGGCAGTAAAAAGGCTAAATCGTGGAACTGCAGAGAGAGATAAAGGTTTTGAGAGAGAGTTGGAAGCAATGGCAGACATAAAACACCGCAACATTGTGACCCTTCATGGATATTACACAGCACCACACTACAATCTTCTCATATATGAGCTAATGCCCAATGGAAGTTTGGACTCCTTTTTGCATGGTATGTATTCGGTTGTTTCTAGCACTACATTCTGATACATTTGGTAGGAGTCAAACGGGGTAAAATGGAACGAAATCATGAAATGAACATTTTGATGCATTATAACTATTTCTTTTATTCTCATATTGGCTCTAACCAAGTATTCCAAGTTAAAAATTCAAGACTAGGATGAAATGGTTAGGTTCTTATGTTATTCAGTAGCACATCACGATTCCTACAACATGTGATCCATTGATGGAAATACAAGTTTCTTCTGTTGTTTTATGACTTTGGAATTTTGTCAAATGATAATTGAGCTTTCTAATTGCAAAGTCGAAATGATGCAGGGAGATCAGGGGACAAGAAGGTTTTAGATTGGCCAACCAGATATAGAATAGCTGCAGGTGCAGCTAGAGGAATATCGTATCTTCATCATGATTGCATCCCTCACATTATCCACAGAGACATCAAGTCAAGCAACATATTGTTGGATCAAAATATGGATGCCCGAGTTTCTGATTTTGGATTAGCCACTTTGATGCAACCAAATAAAACTCATGTCTCAACACTTGTGGCAGGAACTTTTGGATACTTGGCCCCTGGTATAGACGCAAGCCAACTAAACACAGTTTCAACATTTCAAACTACTTGTGTTTTCAAATTGATTAACATTTCACGCAAGCCAACTAAACACAGTTTTAACATTTGCATGCAGAATATTTTGATACAGGAAGAGCAACACTCAAAGGGGATGTTTACAGCTTCGGGGTTGTTTTACTGGAGCTTTTAACTGGGAAGAAACCCAGTGATGAGGCATTCATGGAAGAGGGAACCATGCTTGTCACATGGGTAAGACAGGAATTCTTAAATATCTCCTTCTGTGATTATATTCTTCAAACAAGTTTGAATTCAACAAGGGAACTACCTATGTAGCACTTAATTTTTTAGTCAAGTACCTTGTTCACTTTGAGCTCTATCATTGTGAAATTGTTATCAAGGAAGCACGGTTTGAAAGCCAGAGCAAAGCATATCGTTCTATTTAAATTTGAAGGAGATTAAAATCACAAAAAAATAGTAAAAAATAAAAACAAACTTTTGAACTTTGAAGCATTGACCTCGACTATGAATTGCATTAATCTATTGAACAGTTGAAGTCATAAATATATCTAGTGTGCTATTTAAAGAACTATTATAACATATAATCCATTTTACTTGCTTTTTTTCATACCTCATTTCCAAGGAGTTATTAAACACATTCTATTAAATATAAGAAAGGAATGTAACTTTTATGTAAGCTACCAAGTTTTATTAGAACATTATTTCCTGGATCAGATCTCAAATTACTTACATTGGACCCAACTTTGGAATGATCCTTCTGTTATTATCGTAACAGGTGAAGGCTGTTGTTAGAGAGAAGAAGGAGGAGTTAGTCCTTGATAGTAGCTTAGGAGCTTGTTCAATGCAAGAGATAAATAAGGTGTTCAACATTGCAATGATGTGTCTTGAACCAGATCCCTTGAAGAGGCCAACCATGGGTGAAGTTGTCAATTTGCTTGACCAAACAGAACAAGATAACCTTGTTACAGCATCATGATGTTACAATCAAAACCACCACTCTGAATTCTGGAGTTTCTACAAGCAGCGGTGGAGCTACTAGACTCCAAATTGGATGTAACTAGGGAGTGAAAGAAAATGTATGGGAAAATATTAAATTTTGAAAGGAAAAAAAAAATGAATGTGGCCTTGAGATATTAAGAGGGCCAGCCACTGCCTGGTGTCTATTAGCTTCAACAAAAATTTTGTAATTATTCAGGAACCTGGAGATTTTAATATACATCTGACATGATTAAATCCCAATCCACCAAGTTGAATGTGTCAGGACTAAGACCGAGTAGAAGATGTGTAGCTTTGGTCAAAGAAGAACACTCTGATGAAGTGTTTGCTAGGAGAAATAGTAACCAGAACTGACTTAAGAGTATACTAATGGAAAATTCAAGTATTTTAAATCACTAGAAAGAAATAAACACTGGAACTAGGTAATAGCTTGCAATTGTACACTAGACATATATCAGTAGACAATGAAGCGTGCTTACATTTACATCAGGAGAATATAGGTTACAGCAATACATTAAAAGATTGAACAATACAAAAAAATAAAAAACAAATATGCAAATATGTAAGCAACTTTCGCAATAGATACTAAACTTTTCTATTTGAGTACTTTTGACAACCCTTCAGCCACTGAAGTTTTCAAGGAGGGAGAAACAGGACTATCTCCAAGGAATACATTAAAAAGAGCAGAAGCCACATTCGCTGACTCAATTGTAGCATCCACAGTAGATGGAACCCCATTTGAGGAGACAGAAACCTGAAATCTCAATGAATTTAAACATATTAGACAGCAAAGGTAAAAATGAGGAAAAATAGATCTAAACAATCTCATTTGTCTGAAGAAAATATCACAACAAAAATATGAAAGTAGGCTTACAAGCAATTTAGAGGGGTTGAACCAAGTCAAAACTATGTAAGTTCCTTTCTTAAGAGGGCGATCTAGAAAGACACCACGGAAAGTGGTCAAAGCAGTTTCATCTGTAGTTGTCGGTGCTGGAATTCTTGGTGATATGGCATCACTTAATGCATCCCAAAAAGTTTTACCATCAACATCTCTCACAAGAATAATTTGCAATGCTTTCTCAAAGGAAGCTGCGATCATATCAAGGCATATAGTTATCTATCAAAGTATTCACTGAATGACTCTGAGAGCATTGTAGAATCAAATAAATGAATATAAAGTTGTTACATTGGAAAATGGTCTGGAACAACGAAGAATTCCCTTGAATAGCATCTTTTGATTGCCCTTTCCAAACATTCAATTCACGGGTGATAGATTGATCTAGATACAAACCTGCAGCATAGACCTTGACACCAATAATCGCAAAAACTTTCTCTCTGTATCCTGAAATAAGTATTGTTATCCATCAAAGTTTATAAAATGTACAATAAAGCATAACTACTTTACTGAAACTTAATAAAAGATTTGCAAAACAATGCTGATGGAAGATGATTGAAATAAAAAAAAAAAAAAATCAAGTTTATAGTTGTACTAAGTTTGATTTTCCCAGGCACAATTATTTGCAAAATTAATAATATATTAATATATTTATTTCCTCCTATCAAAGATGTAGTGCTTCATACTTAACCTCAGTTGTTGACTATATATTTCCCCAATGTCATCGGTTCGCCAATCCACACGGACAAATCACTTTGCAGTGCTTCTCACAAGAGGTTTGATTTTAGGCAAAATGCAATCATCAAGTTAGAATGCCACAATCAATGACATGAAAATTATTTGGAAGTTCATATACAGGAAAGTAAATTCCTCATGATATCAATCTATTTAGTCTCCCCAATTACAATACACCATGTCCTCAAGAAAGTGTCCAAAAGCACAAAATAAACAAATACAATCCTGCTCCACATATGCATGTTAAATTTCGATAACATATTTAATATTGATAGACCATGTTAGTCTCACACATGCTCAGAGAATTTTTATCTTTTTCTATTCAGAAGAAAGTCATGATACGATAACATGACATTTGCTACAATATACATCTTTTCATATTAACATATTAAAATATGACTGAAGTTGTATCATATTTCCACAGGTTAAGAACATTATAATCTTCATCATGTGGTATTATAACAACTAACCAGTTCCAAACAAAGTTAATGAATTTGAGCAACCCGGAAAATTCAGACACGTCTGGAATTTCACATTTGTTGCTGGCTCCTCCACGTATTCAGCATTTGCAGCTGCACCGATCAATTACAAAAAATACAACAATTAGGCATCAATTGATCAAGCAAGTCTATCAAAATTGACAATATACCAATATGAGCTATGAGCTCGGTTAGAAATTGAGATTTTCTATATATTAATATTATATTTAATATTTTGTGTAATACTCTGTCTTGTTAGGTTGAAATTAATGATAATCTTTACTTCATGGAAGAGTTGGTTGGATGGTCACTAAGTAGAAAGTAGTGGTGATCTTTTAGTTTATGGAAATTTCACATAACTTTAATGTACCAACTATGTCAAAATAGTAGTGACTGTTGTTCACTATTTATTTTATAATATATATTTCCTACTCAATAATGAATAAAAAGAGATCTTTCTCCCTTCTTCCATTCTGCACCTACACTAGAAACTCTTTTCTGTTTTCTGGTTTTATAGCTTCGCTTACTATTTCAGACTTTACAACATGGTATCAAGAACACTATAATCTTTAAGGGCTTGTGAGAGTATAAAAACCAATTAGAAAATTTATATACCCACAAGAAAAAATGGCATCCAATAGCAGTTCTCTACGTCCACCTCCAGCTTTTGCAAGAGAAAATTATCATTTATGGGTTGCAAAAATGAGAACATTTGAGAGCTCAGACTTTACAGGAAGTAGTGAAAAATGGAAATAATCCAGCCCCTTTACCAAACAACCCAACAGTGGCTCAAATAAGATTTCATAATGAAAAAGTCGTAAAGGAAGGCAGAACACTTGCCATCATACATGCAACTTTACATGATGTTTTTATCAAGATCTTGAATCTCGAGACATCAAAAGAGAAAACAAAAGTCAAAATTATTGTAAAAAAACAAACCACATAGAAAATTATTGTTGGTTCAAACCTGAAGTCAAATGTAGAGCTTGAAACTAGTTTGTTCATGTAAAAAAAGTTTGCAAAAACAAAGCAATGCAACAAGAACAACAAGCTCAAGTTGTTGAGCACCAAGAACAGATTGAGGAGCATTTATTTCTTGTTTCTTGTTATTCTGCAAGTAGAAGCAAAGAAGTTTGGCTAATAGACAGTGAGTGCATCAATCATATATGACTCATGATGCTAGTTTTTTCAAGAAACTTGATTAGTCCTACTACTCCAATGTCATTATTGACAATGGAGAAAGTGTAGACGTCAAAGGCAAAGGAATGACTGTTGTTGAAACTCCTTCAGGTACTAAATACATTTCAGATGTTTTATTTGAGTCAGATTTAAGTCGAAGTCTTTTGAGCATGGGACAAATGCTTAAAAAGAACTATGCTTTGCGTTTTGAAAACATGAGATACACTACATTTGATCTGTTTGGATGTGAGTGAATGTCTATCAAAATGAGAAAAAAGTTTTTCTTTAGAATGGAAACAAACTGTTGTGCAAGTTTTTCTAAGCAAAGTAGAAGTCTCAAGAAATAAACAACTTGGAGTAAACAATCTCCAAGAACAATATGCAGAAATTGAAGGATTTGATGATGATGATGATGATGATGTTGAAAATTTCGATTAAAAGCACTAAAACTCTTGCTAAAATTTATGAAAGGTGTAACATTGTTGTACAAAAACCAAAAGAATATGATGTAGCTGCTAAACTAGAAGAGTAGAGATGTGCTATACAGAATGAGATGAATATAATTGATAAAAACAAAACATGGCAACTTGAAGACAAGCCAAGTAATCAAAAGGATGAAAGTGGAGATCTTCAAGGCTATGCACATAGAGTCTGGGCAAGAAGTTTAGATGATGTCAAGAGTACCTCAAGTTATGTTTTCACACTTGGCTGTGTGTTTTCTCTTGGAATTCAAAGAAACAAGGTGGTGGCTCAATCCATTGCTAAAGCTGAGTATATTTCAGCTGCTACAGCTACAAATCAAGCCATGGCTTAGAAAAATTTTGTAAGATGTGGGGCAACTGCATGATGAATCTACTGTCACATGGGTTGATAATAAGTCAATCATTGTAATTGCAAATAATGATGTTCATCATGGTAGAACTAACCACATCAAGGAGACCAAAACACCTTCTAATAACAAGTTTGAATTGTTCAGTGAAAGCTTTGAGTATCAAGGAAAATTTTCAAGGAGGAGTATTAGAAATTGAGATTTTCTAGATACTTTATTATTATATTTAATATTTTTTGTGTATTACACTATCTTGTTAGGTTGAAAGTAGTGGTAGTCTTTATTTTGTGGAGATTTTACATCAAAGTAATTCCTGTTCACTATCTTTATTTATAATATATATATATATATATATATATATATATTTATACTCCGGAATGAATGAAAAGAGATCTTTATACCTTCTTCCATTGTGCACCTACACTAGAAACTCCTTTTTGTTTTCTGGTTTTATAGTTTCTCTTACTGTTTCAGACTTTGCAACAAGCTCTAATAGTAAGTCAATTGGTTTTAAAATGAAATATGATACGAGATGAGCTATAAGCTCTGATAGTATTGACAATAGTTTGAATGAAGTCTTATGTAACAGTACATGTAAACAGACTTCAAACTCCTCATAAAACTGTAGACACTTGACAAGCATCCTGAGACTGAAGCCTAGTATCGCTGCCATCCCCTCTATGCCCTAAGTTAAAGAGGAATCCCTCATGCCAACACCTGACAAACAGACCATTCTATTAATTTATTTTCATCATCATCAATGTAAACGGAAATGTCATGCCTAGAGATATATACAAGCCTCAATTATCAATTTAGAACTTTTGCTAAGTTTCTCTTTTTCAATTTTATTTGAGCTCTCTCCCTTTCTCTCTCACACACACCCATATACAGCACATATATGCAGTATCATGGTGTCCAATGGACATTAATACATTAACAGAGTAAAGTGTTTGTGTCGATGTCAAAGCCTGTGCCTAATAGCTAAGAACCTTGTGCTCAATAGCAAGATACTAGTGCCACATAACTTTTACTACTTCTTTTCTGATCAACAAACTCAGGGATGCAATATAAAAAGAGAAGCACTCATAGTTTTAGAGAATCTTTAAAAGCTTCCAGATTCAACAAAAAACATATAGCATGCAGCATCCATAGACGAATTTTCTTACTTTATGCATATCTTATTACATGGCTTTTAACCTGCTCGATCCGTCCAACAATTATTTATTTCTTATTATTGCCCCACACAAGATGCCACAAGAAGTACCAGATATAATTTTGAATGTAGAGTTTAGAAAAGCAAATGCAACAGCCTTGTCCCTTTTTCCATTTATTCCTTGTTTAGAGATGCAAAAGGAACTAAAGAGACAACACACCCATGTTTAAGAACCGTTACAGCTATGGAAGTTAAACTTCAGCGAAAGTCAGAAACTAGCCCTAAAGTATAATAATAACAATATAAAGAACAACATCAGAATCTCCTCACTATTTCCTTTCCTTTATCTTCTCTTCTAGGCCTTTTTAAAGGTAAAGGCGAATATTTGTCGTACAGGTGCAAAGAAGCAAGTAAAAAATATTGTAGAGCATCTCAAAAATAAGTTCCAATATAACCATGTCACCTTCCAATTGAATATGCAAAAGCATCGTTCTCTATCAAACAAGTTACCCGACAGGACTTAGCATTAACATTCAGTTTAAATTTTAAAACAATAAAACAGAAAACACATATTCTATGGCAACATCAAAATCTAACATCAAGGGTATAGAATAATCTCCACAAATACAGCACTGCCCTTAAAGTTTATTCCCCAGTCTGCATTGTTTATTTTCCAAGAAAGTACCAAGTGCATTCCAACAAGCGGTAGAAGAAACAAACCAGGTAACATGCCATAAAAAGTGAGAGTTGATGAGAACTGAAAAACCAGAAATAAAGCTGAAAATAACTGATAATGTTAATGACCACAGAATCTAACCAGAAGATGAAGCAGCTTGTGCAAGGAAAAGGGGTTGTCTTCTACTGCTCTTGTGTGAAGAGAAATGCATAGGGGTGGCTGAGAAGAGTGAGAAAGAGTGGCCATTGCTGAATGGCAGTGTTGAATTTGAGATTCCTTTGTGAACAAAAATTCTGGTGGGGTGTGTGGATGGTGAAAAGCATAGTGTTGTGGAAGCTGCTACAGCTCCTAGCATTTGAAGGTTGATGATTGTGTATGTTCAACAACGATGTTTGGTAATAAAATATTGAAATTGATATGGATATATTAAGATTGGAGCAATGAACTGAAATACTCTCACATAATCAAAGCCTCGTCTTGTTGAAGGGAATTTCCTATTTTAAGTCTCAATTTGGACGGAAGTGTCGATTCGGGGAGGTGGAATTATCTGGAGTAAGAGAAAAAGAAAATAAATGAAAAGTAAAATAAATTCTTTTATATTAATAATTTTATTTATTATTTTGATATATATAGTTATAATATAAAAGTAATAAGAAAATATAAATATAATATATGATTGAAAATAAATATTAAAAAATTGATTTGTATAAAATGAAAATGAAAATAAAAAATAAAAATAAAATAATAAAGCATTTATTCTTTCATTTATTACGAAAGATACACGTAAACTTATACATTAGAAACGTAATTTTTAGTAAATCTTCAACCTAGAAAAAGAAATTATATAACATATTTTAGAAATCGGTATATTTTATACATTGAAAAATGAAAATCATCGTGTATTTTTATGTGCCTTGTCTTTCTGTCGTTAGATCCAAATATAGATTTTAATTTTTCTTGATTTCATTTTGAATTTTGACGATAAATTGTAATATTATTGTCATGAAAATTAAAAACCAAAATCACTCATGTCATTAATTAAATGTATAAGTTACCATAATTATGAAGCGTAGTTAATTTTTTAAATCAATTTTGTTGTTCAATATTACAATTTAAGAATTTGGAGTGAGAAATTGAACTAGATTGTGTCCTTCTCCAATCTATGAAAAATATGACAAAACAAACCATTATAGTTACGGTCGTTTCAAACCTCCATAGTGCCAAAAGTTAGATCGAGATTAACTCACCAATCTTTTATATATATAAAAAAAGAATATATATATATATATATATATATATATATTAATATTAAAAGAATATATATATATATATATATATATATTAAAATATATTATTAATTACTTAAATATTTTTAAAATTTTTATCCATTAATTAAGATATTTTATTAGATAAATTAAAAAAAGCTACTTAATGTTAAAATATTTAGTTATAATCAATAATTTAAATTTAATTGATTAATATTTATAATTTAAATTATAATATTATAATATATTTTTATATTTTAATAACATAATATAAAAATATAATATTTTTATCATAATTCTTTTTATTTTAATATATAAATATTTTTTTTTAAATACATTAGCACATGTCACCTACAATCAATTTCATAAATAATATATTTAAAAAAATACTTAAATAAAATCTTTCTAAATTTATTTATTCAACTAGACTTATTTATTAAGTGAAAAAGGGAAGAAAAAAATTAAGAGACTTGATATATAAAAGAAAAAAATCAAGAAATGAGGAGAGAGAAAAACTTAAAAAATTTATGAGGAGAGAAAAAAAATTATATAAAAATAGTAAATAGGTTATTTGGGTTAATAAATTGACAGAGATTCTATTTGAATAATTTTTCTTTAAAAATATATTATTCATAGATTCATTCCACATAGGAACAGAATTTAAAATGTGGGGCCAAATATAAAAATAAATATATTATATAACATTATTAAAAATTATAAATCATCCGTATATTTAAAATTAGTATAAACAAAATATATATATATATATATATATATATATATATATATATATATATATATATATATATATATATATATGTGTGTGTAAGAAGTCAAATACATTTCAATTATGTTTAACGATATTTCATATTATAAAAATAACCAATTATCACATGTGAATCAAATTTTGCAACAATCTCCTTTCCAATATAAACAATCATGTAATAAGTAAAAAAATCATCTTCATCTTATTTCAAAGTCTTGTTTTAATAATTTTTATAGCTAAAATGCACGTTTTGTTATTGTTTTGTAAAGTTTGAACAACAACAAAATAATGTATATAATATTTATAACGACATTCTTGAAGAATAAGAGCATGTAACTCCTTCCACTCTCCATGCATATTACTATCCCTATCATATCCTTGATCACGAACATTTTCAATGTTGAGATTATGATGAAATAATACTAAACAAATTTCTTGTTTAAGAGTTACTATAGTATTATCTCTTACATGTACTACATTAGCCTCATTAATAATCAAATAAAATTTTGCATTATCAATCTCATTATGAATTTTACTTTGAATCTTTCTAACAAAAAGATGTAGAATTGTTTTTTGAATAGTTGATGATGTATATCTTGCATTTTGAGGAACATTATCCAAAACAACTACATCCACTTCTTTATTATAAGAAGTTATTTCAACATTTCAAGTAAGTTGTCTTGATTCTTAGATTCCAAACTTCCATCATAACCTCTACAGGCACAATATTGAAAGGTTAATCACTTAATAATATTAACAGAAATTTTAAGATGCAATTGATTGGTTAAAACTTATTGTAAAATCTGTTTAAATAACACTTTGTCCATATAATATGATTGATTCTTTAAGTCTTCACTATATTAAACTGTAATATTGTGAGGAGAATTAGGAGATTTTCCAATATGAGATAAAAATGTATAATCTTTTTCATTATTTACTTTTTTTCTAGTTTCTAAATCCTTCCATAGTGAATAGAACAGACTTCCTAGAAAAAAAGAGCATGGAAGAAAAAATACAATATCTACTTATGGTGAATACTCTAACCATGAAAAAATTTTAAACTAATTAGCTTGAAATCAACCACGATGATTATTTAAACCTGAAAGTGAATACTCGTCCAAAGAAAACTAATAAGGCTCAAAGTGAAATATGCTCTACGGATTTCATCTTGTTGATTGATAGAATAATTCAAAATTTATGGACATTTTTTTATCATTACGTATCAAAGTTTCAATATTAAATTTTCCATGTTCAATCTTCATAATTATGGAAAAAAGTTGTTGAATAGGTTGATCAATTTTATGTTGCTCCACAACATTTTCAACATTCATTGTTAAATTTAAACAAGGTAAACTAAAGTTTTTTTTCTTTATTCATCCTTGATAAAGATATACAAAGAAGCCGCTCAAAGTAACTGTTGGAAAGAGGCAATGGTTGCTGAAATAGATGCTCTTAACAGAAACCAAACTTGGACATTAGTTTCTCTTCCTCCTGGCAAAAATACTATTGGTTGCGAGATGGGTTTATAGAATCAAACATAAAGCGAGATGGCTCGGTTGATAGATTCAAAGCTCGTTTGGTTGCCAAAGGGTTTACCCAAACCGAAGGAATTGACTATTTCGAAACTTTTTCTCCTGTTGTAAAGCTTACCACCGTCAGAATTGTTCTTGCTCTAGCCACTGCTTCTCATTAGTTCATCCATCAATTGGATGTTGATAATGCCTTTCTTCACGGTGAGTTGGATGAAGAAATATACATGAAGCCTCCACCTGGCCTATCTCTTCCTCATCCAAAGCTTGTTTGTAAACTTAATAAGTCTCTTTATGGACTTAAACAGGCCGCAGAAGCTGGAACAACAAGCTTACTTCGAGCTTCTTTTTCTCGGTTACTCTCAAAGTGTTGCAGATTACTCTCTCTTTGTTAAGTCCTCCGGTTCTCGCTATCACAGTTCTTCTTGTTTATGTTGATGATGTTGTACTCACTGGCAATGACTTATCCGAAATTCAAAAGGTTAAAAACCATCTTCATGCTAAATATCATATTAAAGACCTTGGCCCTCTTAAATACTTTCCGGGACCTGGAAGTTGTTCGAACACCAAATGGATTGATTTTAAATCAACGCAAATATTGCTTGGACCTTATATCTGAAGCGAGTCTTCTTGGTTGCAAACCTGCGCCTACACCTGTTGATCCCGCCATCAAATTACATGCCGATGAAGGAGTGTTACTGTCTGATCCCTCATCTTATCGCAGACTCATTGGCAGACTTTTATATTTGACCCACACAAGGCCTGATATTTGTTTCGCTGTTCAACAACTCAGCCAATTCATTTCTTCCCCACGAGAACCTCACATGCAACAAGCTTTAAGAATTATTCGTTATTTGAAAAATGCTCCAGGATATGGTCTGTTATATCAGTTCAATACCACTCTTACTGTTCAAGCTTTTTCAGATTCAGATTGGGCCACATGTGCCACTACTCGTCGTTCAGTTTCTGGGTTTTGTATCTTCTTAGGTGCATCTCTAATTTCTTGGAAATCCAAGAAACAGACCACTGTCTCACGGTCCTCAACGAAGCGTAATACCGTTCACTAGCCTCTTTGACTTGTGAACTCCGATGGCTCCAATACATCTTCCAAAATCTGCATTTTTCCATTCCCACCCCTTATGCTACTTTTTGTGATAACAATTCCGCCATCCAAATAGCCAAAAATCCTACTTTCCATGAGAGAACTAAACACCTTGAAATAGATTGTCATCTTATACGTCAAAAACTCCTTGACGGTCTTATTCATCTTCTTCACATTCCTTCAACCCCTCAACTTGCAGATGTCTTCACCAAGTCTCTTCATCCCGCACCTTTCCAAGCATGCCACTTCCAAGCTTGGCCTTCACAACGCTTATGCCCAGCTTGAGGGAGGATGATAAAGATATACAATATATCTTTTTCTGTTATTTTTCAGTTACTGTTAGTTTTCATATAGCTTGATCTTATATATTCAAGCTTCTCCTTTGTAATAAAGTAGTGCAGTGTTTCTATACATATGAATATATCTTCTCTTCCTAACAATCCTCTCTTCTCTTAAAAAAATAATCTATAGTTTTCATCTTAGACATCTCTAAAGTTCAATCTACTCTTTTTTTTCCACATTTTAACATCAAAATAGAGTATCATAAAACATTAAAACAACTAACTAAATTATAATAAATAAACAAATTTACATAATGTTCTTTACTTTTAAGAAAAAATATTATAGAATATTTCTTTTATTTTTTAACTTCCTATATTTTTTTCAACTTGAAAATGTCTCAAACTTGAACACACCAGAAAAAAAAAACCTTAAAAGTAAAAGTTACAATTTTTATACTATAAAGGTGAAACTGTAAAAAAGAAAAATTTGAAATACTAAAGAGAAAAAACTTACAATTTTTATGTTGTGCGAGAAAAAAAGAAAAGAATATGAAAATGAAGAAATGGTAGAAAAAAAGATAAAATTAAAAAATAAAAGTCTCCCATATAAAAAAATGAAGTAGGAAAGTAAAAAAAAATAAGGGAAAAAAATAAAGTTTAAAAATAGAAAAATAAGAAGAAAAAATAGAAATTAAGCAAAAGAATAAAGATAATATTTATTACATGAAAAATAAAAAAATTTATTAATACTTAAAAAATATTTTTATTTAATTTATATATATAGTGGGTGTAGAGGTGAAAACATGAATTTGGGTTGGTCACATTCTTTATATATATATATATATATAATTAAGGAGATTTTACCAACCTATATTTTTGCCTCTGCACCCAACGGATTGTATTTTTATTTTTTTTATAGAAAGTCAAACCTTATCCATCTTATATTCAAGATTAAGAATTTTTAATTTAAATAATAGGATATAATTATTTATGTTTAAAACAATTAGATAATTATAATTTTTTTCTCTAAATTCTTTTATGAACTCTATTATTACTTGTTCGTTGTTGGAACAAAACAGTCAAACAACTGGTGTTTATTTTATTATAACTAAAAAGTTAGTTTACGACAAAAGAAAAAACTGAAGTTACGTTTATTCTTCTTTTTCCTTTGAAGAAGACACAAATGTTGTAAACATTTTCTTTATACGTACGTAAACACTTCTGAGTATGTAAACCCAGATAGACTAGGCAAATAATACTCATTTGTTAAGCTTGACTTTATAAAGAAAACATTATACAAAACCTAGAGATGCGCATTAGATTTTTTGATTCTGGTGTATAAACTTTGTGACACATGATGAAAGCCAAAACATGCAGCTCAGCTTATGACAAACAATCGGAGGTTAATAATAGAGTCAGAACGTAAAATGTGAACCCCACAATCCATAAAAGGCTAATAAAAGTGGGGTCATTGTTTTCCACACAACGGTTCTTTCTGCAATAATGGGTATTATTATTATTATAAACCCAATGAGAAAACGAGGAGCCAACAGTCACCATTCTAAAGCACAAACTCACATCACATCACGTGCAACCACTCTTTTCACTGTGATCCTTTTCCCATAATCAGAGTCCCCACAACGCCTTTCTAATCTCCATTGCTGTTAATGTAGCCGTTATCATGATCTCACCGTAGCTTTTCACCCACCACCATCTTTTCCCTTTAAAACACACCACGCTTTTCACTCACTATTAACACATCACCCTCTACTTTAACCTTCTCTCATCTCTATCTCCCTGTCTCTCTCTCTCTCCCTTCATCATCCTGCTCTCACCACACTGCTCAGTTCAGACAGTACTTGTAAAAGTAACAACGATGGCTAATGTCCCTGTTCTCCTTTTCCTTGTGTTCTTGTCTCTCTCACCAGGTGTGTGTCAGATGCTATTAACTTTTGCTCCAGTGTTGTGTTCAGAACTCATCTACGTTAGTCTCATTTTTTTGTTGGTTGTTTGCTTTGGTACAAGAGAACATGTTTTCTGGTTTGATTTGGCTTGCACAGACAATGTATTGTAACCTATGTTGAGATGCTGAAAGTGTTAATTTTAAAGACTTTCTCCTCACTCTACCTTTCTGATCTAAGCAGGGTTTTTCTAGTTCTGAAATTTTCAATTGTAAAAATTGATTCCCTTTCCTATCTGTGTCAAGTGTTGGTGCATCCTTAGTAGCATTAGTCCTGACTCTTGTTTGAAGAAAATCTGGTTAGGTGGGAATCCCATCTTTGAGTGCCTCAAAGACATAAGCCAAATGCTGTAATTTCCTTCTTGATAAATGATCTCAAAGAACATATAAAAATAGGTTACTAGGTTCGACACATTGGTGAAATATAATGTATGCAATTTGGCGATATTAAGTGAGCTACCATTATACAATAGCATTACAAACTAATCACTCTGGTTTCCCTATTTGTTTTCTCCCCCTTGATTTGTGCAGGAGGGAATCTGATCATGGGCAATGAGCAGGTTAGTTAACTAGAACCAATTCCTTCAAATGCATTGGAAAATGGATTTGTTGTTGTATATATAATGTTGTTACTTAAATTAATTGGAGTGTTGTGGGATCACAGAAATCTTGGTGTGTGGCAAAGCCTTCATCAGATCAGGCTACCCTTTTGGCCAACCTGAATTATGCCTGTTCTCAAGTTGATTGCAGGGTTCTGCAGAAAGGCTGCCCCTGTTCTTACCCTGACAATCTCATGAACCATGCCTCCATAGCCATGAATCTCTACTACCAATCCAGAGGAAGAAACCACTGGAATTGTGATTTCAGGGCCTCTGGCCTCATCACTATCACTGATCCAAGTACGTTATATCAGATCATCAAGACTTGTATAGATTGTACATGTTTGCTATGACTATTTACTCTGCTAAACGTGTACATTATTTTGTCATGTTAAATTGCAGGTTATGGCAACTGCATTTACGCATAGAAGGCAACTAATGGAGAATATAACGTCAAATAGTATATTTGCTCCAATGTACTTGTAATTTAATTAGGTTGCCATGGTCAACCCAAAATATAAATGTAAAATTTGACCTTTCTTATCTTAGATATTTCAATAATTTTAAAATTCTTAGAGAGTAATTTATTTTTATAAAAAATTCATAATTTTGGTTAGAGTACTTAATATTAGATAATTTTAATTTTTAATAAAGAATTTTAGATTCCAAATTTTAACTAAGAATTTAAGATTTCAAATACATATTTTATCAATTATAAAAATACTTGTAATAAACTATATATAATTTTCTATAATGAATATTTTATCTAAATCTAATATTATAATCATTGGTAGATCTCATCTTAAAATCAAATAATATATTATTATTAATAAATAATAGATAAATATATAAGAATATGGCGGCGAGGCGGGTTTTGTCTTTCCGATCCGTCTCGACTTTTTTAATCATCCATGTTCCGATTTCGTCGAGGTTAGAAATTATCATTCCCATCCTATCGTATTTCGGGTTTCCTGTCCCATCCTCGATCTATATTATTTTTAAAAAGATAATTACATTTATAATAAATTAATTTTACTATCTATTTTTTATATATAAATAAATATTTATAATTTATAACTATTATTAATATTATAATTTATATGTATGTAAAATAAATATATAATTATTTTTTATTTATAACATTATTATTATTATTATAATATTGTATTCAAATATTTGAATACTTATAATATTATTATTATAATATTGTATTCAAACATTTGATTATATATATAAGGTAATTCATTTTTAAGTTATCATTTAAAAATATGAAATATATAATTTATAAGAAAATATTTAATAAGTTAATTCTTATTCAATTAGTTTGAAGGAATAAAAGTTTAAATTATCAATTCCTTTAAAATATAATTATTTTATTAAGATAAAATTTGATATATGATAAATAAGAATAATAAGATAAAAAAAAGACATAATAAAACCTAATAAATATAAATTATAAATAAAATAATATTAGTTAATACTAAGATTTATGTAAAATATTTAGAAAAAGATAAAGAATGAAAAAGATAAAGAATAAAAAATAATTAACTTTGTGTTCATCAAATTGGATGAAAAAATTGAAAAAAAAATTGATGGGAGAAATTAAAGAAATGTGAAAAACTGAAAGGTAAGAGAGAGAATAATGTAATAAATTAATTGATATAAAAGATTAAAAAAGACAAAAAAAATTAAAAAGTGGGTAGAAGAAAAATAAAAATTGGTAAAATATAAAAAAATAACTTTATATGTAATAGAAAAAGAAAAGGAAATACTTTTAATATATTAATATTTTAAAATTTAAATTTAAATATAAAGTCGGGCGAAGACGGGGTTGGGGTCGGGATTGCATTACCCATCCTCGTCCCCGTCCCTGACTTTTTAAAGCGGGAAAACTCGAACCCGCCCCGGTCAACTCGGGTTTTTCCGTCAAACTCGGGCGGGACGGGTTGGTCCCTACGGATACGAGTTTAATTGTCATCCTTAAGTGAGATATCAAATTTGTAAATATATAAATATGTATATTTAATAATTATTAAGTTTGAATTAATATGAGTTACATAATTTTGAGAATAATTATTAAGTTTGTGGTCAAAATCATAAATGTTAATATAAATTACAAAACTTTAGTGGGGGTATATGACCCCTCTAATCTCCCAAAAAGATCCGCGACCTTAATGTGCATTATATTTTATTACTACTTATTATGCAAATTTATATGTAACATGATATTTTTAGTAAAATATAATAACATTTTACTTTAACTATTAATATGAAGTTAATTTTTATAAATGATATTTCACATATTTATTTAATGAGAATATTTATAAAATTACCTTAATTGTAAATTTGGATTTTAAGTATTAGTTCAAATATTACTCACTTATTTGATCTTATTTATATTTATTATCCTTTAGTAATCGATAAAAATAAAAAAAATAATAAAGATAATAAAAACGATTTCTTTTCCTATTAATTGTTTTTCCTCCATTTTTTTGAATAGTTTTATTATCATATGTGGCGTTTATAAGTACACATTAGAGAAAACTCAAGGAAGTTTCTTATTGGACACGAAGATAATACTTTATTTAAGGGTGAAGGTGCACTTCCAAGGATTCAAGAGAGGAAAAGAGATTATTCAAATCATGAAACATGGATTGGATATGCAGGACCAATCAATACAGTAAATAAAAAAAAAGGAAACAAAAATGGAGAAGAGAAGAAATGGGGTGAGCAAGGGGTGATGACACGCGCACTTAGGAGATGAACCAACCCAAGATGAGTAGTACATGTTGTTAAGAACAATGGTCGAAATTAAGAGGTGGGTGAATTGATCTATTAAAACTTTTTTGAATTACACCAAATATTAAAGAATATAATCAATTTTTTCATGAATTAATTGATGAATAAATCAAGAAACATTAAATGCAATAAGTAAGAGATAGAGAGAAAAAAAGGCACAAGATTTATATTGGTTCACCCAACCACCTGGGTTACATCCAGTTCTCATCATAAATCAGTTGAGTTTCACTAAATCAACATTGAAATACAATTACAAACTAGTAGACACACTCAATCTATTCCAAGAGCTTTTTGAACACCAAAGAACCACTCTTGACACCACTAACAATCCACACCAGGTCGCCACCAACCAGTATCCACCACTAGGTACCACTAATACACCAAGAAATAAATAATACAAAGAAATAAATCACTTGGAGAAATTATACAACAAGCACTTTAAGTGCAAAATCACAATCTTAAGGTTATTATCTTCAAGAAAGTAAAAGAAATGCCTCAAAAGTGTTTTGGATTACCACAATGAAAGACGTACTTTGATCTCTTAAAAGATTGTTAAAAGCTTTTCTCAAAATCATATCACTACAAGAAAAACACCAAATAGTGACCGAAATTAGTGACTGAAAAATTCAGTCACTGATAGTAACTGAATCAGTGACTGATTTCCCTTTTTATATTTAGTGACTAAAATTTCAGTCACAGATATCGGTCACTGATTCAATCATCGAATCGGTCACTGATTCAGTCACTACTAAAAAATGGTTAATAGTGACCGAAAGTGGTGACTAAATTTTTTTATATTTAGTAACTGATTTAGTGACTAAATTTTCAAATCACTAAAAAAATAATTTTTAAATTGATAACTATTTTTCATTTATATAAATATTTTATTTAAAATATTTTAAATATAAATCTACTTAATAATTTAAAATAAGTGATAACATTGTTAATAACATTATAAAAATTTTAAAAAAATAGTTTACTAACTTATTAAATAATTTAGTAATATAATTATTTAATTTTATTTTTTAATTTAGCATGTGAATAAAAAAATTAAAATTGATTATTAAATTAGTCACCGAATCGGTCATCGATTCAGTCATCGAATCGGTCACCGAATCGGTCATTGATTCGATCACCGAATCGATCATCGATTCGGTCACTAAATCAATAATTAAATTAATTATTAATTTAGTCTCTTTTATATATATATATATATATATATATATATATTACTTGTATGTTAATAAAAATGTATTTCAATGTATTTATAAAAAATTAAAATTATTTTAATTACTGAATTGATATTTTAAATTTATATTAATATCTTGGATAATTTAATAGTTGGATATATATTTTAAGTTTATATTAGTCATTTTTATATAAAAGTGTAAAAATAAAGTGAACTTATTTTAAAATTTAATTAAACATAATAATATAATATAGTATTAACCATAAATATGTGAAGATTTAGTTAGAAATTAATTTTAAGTTTTATTGTTTTTATTTAAAAAAAATCGTTAAAAAAATTTAAAATAATTAATTAAAGCAAAGAATTTTAATTTAATAAATGTGTTAATATTATTAGAAGAATTAAATTTATATTAATAATTATATAAAATTATAGATATATTAAAATTTAAATTATTGGTAATTTTTTTAATTATTAAGCTAAAATTTGATAATATAAATAAATTAAAAATAAATATATATATATATATATATATATATATATCACTTTAATTTTTTTAATTAAAATTAATTTCATAAAAAAATTAATATTTGAAAATTAAAATGCAAAAGTATATATATTTATCTTTTATTTAATTATACTTTTACACCTAAAAAAAGAAAAAAATAATAAAATTTTCTTTTATTAATCATTTTTATAAAATAAAAAAATATATAATAATTACTTTTATAAAAATAAAAATTTAACGTTCTTGATTCTTTAACTGATTTGTTTTAACTAATACGACAACATTTATATCAATTAAAACACTTTACAAAAATTCTTCTAAGTTGATTTAATCGATTGTTTCAGCGATTCAATCGATTGAAATACTCGCAAAACTTTCTCGTAAAACTTTTCAAGTTATTTTAAGCTGATAAAAATAAGTTTTAATCGATTAAAGCAGCTGTGCAGAAATTGTTTTAATCGATTGAAACGAGATTTAATCGATTAAAATAGTTCTGATCAGTCATAACTGCATTCTGATCGATCATAATTGAAACGATATAATAGCGGTTCCAGGTTAACCGCTATCTAAGTGACCTTTTAAGAGCGGTTCCTCTGTAACCGCTATCTAAAATGTATCTCGCTTGAGCGACATTCTTCTCGCTCGAGCGAAATGCCCCTGCACAAAATTGGCATTCTCGGGTTGTATTTCAGCTTGAGCGACTCTAGTATCGCTCGAGCGATATTTGATTCTGATCGATTAGATTTTAGAAATGATCGATCATATTTGATAATTTTTTCAAATAATTAATTATAATCGATTAGTTTTCTAAATTATTGATTAGAATTGATTAGTTTTTCAAATAATAGATTAGAATTGATTAATTTCTGAAATATATACTAAAAAATTATAATTAAAAATATAAATTAGTTAAGAATATTGACTATTGTAAA